TTTCCTCCATTCCTGCTCCGCCCACTCTCAGAGACCAGCCATCTATGGGGTGGGCATGTGAGTTGGGAGTGGGACACGGGGGTAGCACTCTGGTTCCTAGGGAGGAACCAGAAAATTTTAGTCTGCTCCCAAATCATTCAGAGTCTGAGAGATGGCAGAAATTTTGGAAATGAATCAGAATTGAAGTCAGCTTCAAGGCTCTGGAATCTGCAGTGGACCTGGGCCTCCACAGAGATGCGAAAGCCAGCTTAGTCTCCTGAAGGTGCCCTGGACTCTCTAGGGGTGGTGCATGACTTCCTCCCCTCTCCTACCCACACCCTAGCACAGGGGCTTGAAACCAATCAGGGGTAATTACACAGGAAGTTGCCATAGTTTGAAGCACCGATTTCCCCCCATTCTTGAGTCCTACCACACTGCGGTACGGGTGTGTTTAGACACATTGAGAAGCTGAAGCAAAACCACCATGGCTGTCACCTCCTCCAGAAGTTTCCCAAATCCCCCAGATAAGTTAAAGGAAGCAAGATGGGTCCCTAAGAACCTGAGTTTACGCCCACAGTGGACTTGACACTGAGGGGTGACAACAGAAAGAGAAGACTCTTGACCTCTTTCAACCTCTAGCTACCAGGCCAAATGAACCCAGACTTCAGGGTCCAGTGAAATGTAGATCTCAGTGTGTTCTTAATCTCAGGGATGGAGAAAATGAGGTTCTAAAATCCCTTACTTTAGTACTACACCACCACAACACACATAACAAATATTTGCAGAGTACCAATCATTTCTTAGGATAGCTCTCTAGAGTAGATATTATTATCTCCATTGAGCCAACTGTGGCTCAGGGAACTTAAGTAGCTGCACAGAATGATACCTTTTGACTCATCCACGAAGCTACCCCACCCCATACTCTACAGCACATTGTCCATTAGAATTTTCTGCAATGATGTAAATGTTCTACATCTGTTCTGGCCAACCTCTAGCCACAGGTAGCTATTGAGTACTTGAAATGTGTATAGTGCAACTCAGGAACTGAAATCTTTCTTCCTTCCTTCCTTCCTTCCTTCCTTCCTTCCTTCCTTCCTTCCTTCCTTTCTTTCTTTCTTTCTTCGTTGGGTCTTCATTGCTGCACGTGGGCTCTCTCCAGTTGCAGCGAGTGGGGGCTACTCTTTGTTGCGGTACATGGGTTTCTCATTGCGGTGGCCCCTCCTGTTGCAGAGCATGGGCTCCAGGTGCGCGGGCTTCATTAGTCGTGGCACGTGAGCTCAGCAGTTGCGGCTCGTGGGCTCCAGAGCACAGGCTCAGCGGTTATGGCGCACGGGCTCAGCCGCTCCGCAGCAAGTGGGATCTTCCTGGACCAGGGCTCGAATCTGTGTCCACTGCATTGGCAGGCAGATTCCCACCCACTGTACCACCAGGGAAGTCTGTGAATTTTTAATTTTATTCAATTTAAACATATGTTTAAATAACCATATGGGGCTGGAGGTCACCATATTGGACACAAGTCCGAGAACATAAGATATTAAAAAACCTTTGGGGAAAATTGAAATGTATATGAAGGATTCTCTGGCAGGAACTGGGTTACTCTCTTTTGGTGGGTTTTGTACTTTCTGGTTAGGGTGATATGAAACTCCTCTAACCCCAGAATAGTTAGAAAAGCAACATCAACTCTAGATTCCAACTTGCAAAACAAGACAGAGCACTCTGGGGAATAGGAGGCATTAGAAAGTTCCCAGAGAATCAGTGTCAGAATAAGTATACTTCCCAAGGATTCCAGAGTGTCCTCAGCATTTC